TTGACAACCATTCGTGCGTAGATAGCTCCGTTTGGTTTAGAGCAGGTATTTCTCTTTACACAGCCTGTATCTCGTAAACATCGATCGCCATCCGACTCATGGATGTCCTAACGGCAGCTTTAGAGAAGAAACGTGTTCTACCTCGCTGCCTCTAAACATGCAGATTAACTTCCTAAAAGGAACCAACACACAGGCAGATCAGTTTGGTACGAAGGCGGGTCTTCTGTGTTTGAAACGCGATTCTTACTGCTAGACTCTTATATGCGTCTCTAGGGCTGGAAATGACTGTCTTCTGCATTCTCCAAAGAAGGGTTTCTGACTGCTGCACAACACACATCAGTTTAACTCTGGGAAGTTGAATGCGCACATTGACAACCATTCTGCTAGATAGCTCTCGTTTTGTTTTAGAGCAAGTTATTTCTCTTTACAGCCTGTTCTCCCATCCACCCTGGAATGTCCAAACGCAGCTTTTAGAAGAAACGTGTTTCATTCCTCGCTGATATCAACACATGATGCAACTTCCTAAAAGGAACCAACACACAGCACATTCAGTTGTGTAAGAAGCGGGTCTTCTGTGTTTGAACGCATTCTTACTGCTACTCTTATATGCTGTCTCTAGTGCTGGAAATGACACTGTTTCTTCTGCATTCTCCAAAGAAAGGGAGTTTCTGAAACTGCTGCAAACCAACATCAGTTTAACTCTGGTGGAAGTTGAATGTCAACACCATTGACAACCATACTGCTAGATAGCTCCGTTTTGGTTTTAAGTCAAGGTATTTCTCTTTACCCAGCTGTTCTGCCATCCACTCTGAATTGTCCAAACGCAGCTTTAGAGAAACTGTGATTTCTACCTCGGCTGAATCTAAACATAGATCGCAACTTCCTAAAAGGAACCAACACACAGCAGATCAGTTTTGTATAGAAGCGGTCTTCTGTTTTAAACGCATTCTTACTGCTAACTCTTATATGCGTCTCTAGTGGCTGGAAATGACTGTTTCTGCATTCTCCAAAGAAAAGGGTTTCGAACTGCTGCAAACACACATCAGTTTTACTCTGGAAGTTGAATGCACACATTGACAACCATACTGCTAGATAGCTTCCGTTTGGTTTTAGAAGCAAGTTATTCTCTTTACAGCCTGTTTCTCCCATCCACTCTGGAATGTCCAAACGCAGCTTTAGAAGAAACGTGTTGCCCTGCCTCGCTGAATCTAAACACAGATGCAACTTCCTAAAAGGAACCAACACGCAGCACATCAGTTTGTAAGAAGCGGGTCTTCTGTGTTTGAAACGCATTCTTACTGCTAACTCTTATATGCGTCTCTAGGGCTGGAAATGACTGTTTCTGCATTCTCCAAAGAAAGGGTTTCTGAACTGCTGTAAACACACATCAGTTTTACTCTGAAGTTGAATGTACACATTGACAAACCATTCTGCTAGATAGCTCCGTTTCGGTTTTAGAGCAAGGTATTTCTCTTTAACAGCCTGTTTCTCCCATCCACTCTGGAATGTCCAAACGCAGCTTTTAGAATAAACGTGTTTCTTCCTCGCTGAATCTAAACACAGATGCAACTTTCCTAAAAGGAACGAACACACAGCAGATCAGTTTGTAAGAAGGCGGGTCTTCTGTGTTTGAAACGCATTGCTTACTGCTAACTCTTATATGCGTCTCTAGGGCTGGAAATGACTGTTTCTGCATTCGCACCAAGAAGGTTTCTGAACTGCTGCAAACACACGTCAGTTTAACGTCTGGAAGTTGAATGCACCACATTGACAACCATATCTGCTAGATAGCTCCGTTTCGGTTTTAGAGCAAGGTATTTCTCTTGCAGCCTGTGCTCCCCTCACTCTGGAATGTCCAAACGCAGCTTTTAGAAGAAACGTGTTTCTACGCATCGCTGAATCTAAACATAGATGTACTTCCTAAAGTGTGAACGCAACACACATCAAAAGAAAAACTGCTAACTCAGTTGTACGTACGAGACGGGTCTTCTGTGTTTGAAGAACGCAGTACTCTTAATCTGCATATACGATCTTATATGCGTACTCTAGGGCTGAATGTCAATGGTTTACCCCATTCGCAACAAAAATGGAAAAAATAGAAAGTGTTTCTGAACATGCTGCAAACACACATCAGTTTACACTGCTGGAAAAGTTGAGATGCGACACAATTGACTTTAAGCTGCATTTCATCATAGCTAGTATGAGCTCCCTTTGGTTTAATGTATGCAAAGAAAAGTAGCTAGTTCTATCTCTTATACTAGCTGTGCTTCGCTGTCCATCTCTGATGATCAGAGAACGGCAGGAAAAATTTTTTTGAAATTCATGGTGTTTTTTTATATTTTATTTTTTCTTAATTCTTTTTATTTCTTTTAAGTTAATCTTTATGTTTTTAATTTTCTTCTTTGTTTGTTTCTTTAAGAAGTAAGAACAGTAGTTTCTACGCCTCGCTGAATCTAAACATCGATGTAACTTCCTTAATTATAGGTAACCATACACACAGCAGATCTGTATTGTTATCGAAGCGGGTCTTCTGTTTTGAATACAGCATTGCTTACATGGCTATCTCTTATATGTCGTCTCTAGGGCTGTAAATGACTGTTTTTCTGCATCGCCTTCCAAGAAAAGGTTTCTGAACTGCTAGTAACACTACATCAGTTTATCTGGCGCATGAAGTGTGAATGTACACATTGAAAACATTCTGCTAGATACTCCGCTTTGTTTATGAGCTTACAGTCATTATCTCCTAATTTTACACCTGTTCATCGATCGCATCCACCGTCTGGAAACTGATCCATACCGCTGCTTTTAGAAGAGCACGATGATTCTACTTGGTCATCAGGCTGCGAATCTAAACATAGATGCGATACCTCCTAAAAGGAACACCACAGCGAGCTAGATCGTTTGTGTACGAAAGATAGCGGGTCTCCTGTGTTGAACGGATTATCTTAGCTGCTTTTCATTCACTCTTAGATGAGGCGTCTCTAGGGCTGGCTAAATGACTGTTTCTGTCATATCTGTCTCGAAGCAGTACGGGTTTCTGAACGCCTGGCAAACACACATCAGTTTAACAATCTTGCCGAGAGGATTTAAGAACTGCACACGATTGACACCATGTGGTACTGCTGGAGATAGCTCCTGTTTTGGGTTTATGGAGGCAGTTTTTCTTCTCTTTAGCGTAGCCTGTTGGCTCTCGGGACCTCTAAATCTACACTCGTGCATGTGCCGCTAATTTACGCAGCTGTTAGCAGATAACGTGTTTCTTCCGCTCGCTGAATCCGTACATCACAGATCGGGGCAACTAATGCTAAAGGAACCACACGGACACGCACATCAGTTTGTATGAGGCGAGTCTTCTGTGCTTTGAACGCATTCTTACTGCTAACTCGATCCCATTATATGCGTGCTCTGAGTGGCTGCGAAATGAGTACTGTTTTTCTGTGGCATAGTCTGCACAAAGGTAAGGCCGATTTCTGAAACGTAAAACAAAAACAAATAAAGAAGAATAAAAAAAAAAAAACAATAAAAAAAAACATAAACAAATAAAAATAATTAAACAAAACAAAAAAAAAATAAAAAAAAAGGGTCAAAAAATAAAAATAAAAAAAAAAAGAAAAGAATAAAAAAGAGAAACAAAAAAAAAAGATAAAATGGAAAGATCTAACAAAAAAACCAGAACCCATACTGTAAAAAAAAACAAAAAATCATTCATATTAGAACAAAACATAAACACCACGAGCAAAGATAAAAAAGAAAAAACGCCAAAAACAAAAAGCCAAAAAACAGAAGTATTAAAAGCCCTATAGTAAGCTATGATGGCACCATTGCATTCTAGCCTGGAAAACAGAGTAAAACCCTGTCTCTTAAAAAAAAAAAAAAGAATAGAACTTCATCTAAAAATGTGTTTAAGAGCAAGAAATTAGCCATAGTGTTGGTTGAAGATATGAAAGAGTATATTACTGAAAAACATTTACATGGAGACAATTATAATGAAATAATTTAAATTATGAAGAAAATGGCAGACAACTCAATGGAAAATTGAGCAAAAGACTTGACTATGTCCTTAAAAAAATATGTATGAATATCTGATATACATTTGAAAGACTCCTAATCTCATTAGTCATCATACAAATGCAAACTGAAACCATAGGGCAATACCTTTACATAGCCCACAAAACATTAAAATGGAGACTTAAAATACCAAATGTTGATGAAAATGTGAAACATTTGAAACACTCAAAACATCTGGTGGGAGTATAAATTAGTACAACCACTGTGGAAAATTATTTGGGATTATTTACCAAAGCTGGCCTACTTGTGATCTGGCAGTTCCAAACATACCCATCTGTTTATACACATTCACCACAAAAATGTACAGAAATGCTTATAGCACAATGACTTATAATAGCATAACAGAGAAAAACCAGAAATAATCCAAATATTCATCAATACTAGAATGGTTAAATATATGGTGGTATATTCATACACTGCAATGCTTATACCACAATGAAAATGAACACTACTGCTAAGTGAAGGAGCATGAATGAATCCCACAAATATAATGCCATTTAAGAAAGAATCAGTAGAAAAGAGTACATACTGTAAAGTGTTTTCATGCAAATTTCAACAACAGACAAAACTAATCTATGATGATAGAAATAAAAATAGTATCTACCTCAGTGGTGTAATATCTACCTCAGTGGTGTAATAACTAAGAGGGAACATGAGAGAGCCTTTTGTGGGGTGGTGATGTGAATGTCCTATTTCTTGATCTATGCTGTGATTAGAATGGAAGTTCACTTTGTGACAATTCACTGAGCTGTGCATTTCTGATTTTTGCGCTTTTCTGTGCGTATGTTACACTTTGATAAACTGATTACTCATATATTAATAGAAAGAAGTCCACAATTCAGAGAGGTGAAAATAAACTCAAAATATAAACACTTTGAGATAACAAAAGAAATTTTTATGACAAGTCATCCAAATGCATTTGAGCCACTTACTTTGAGCCAAACCCCATCCTCTTTCTTCAGGCTACCTTCTGGCTGCTCATTCCTGTCATCCTGAGTTTCATTTTCACTGGCAACACAGGGAAACCAGCCAGTTAGGGGACGGTAGTTGGGCAAATCTGGATGGTATGATTTGCAAATCTGAAATACAATTTCAACCAACAGTTTGAAGTATGGAGTGTGGAGAGATAAGTAAAGACAATGAAACTCTCCAGCTCAAAGCAAAGTTTTTCTTTCTGAATGCCTAATAATCACATTATTGGCAGAAAACTTTTCTCAATCTTGAAGAATTTCTCAGCTCTCTTTAACATCAAGATACAACTTGCCAGGGTAGAAAAACACATCTCTCAGCTTTTCATCAGCCCAGGGGTCTTGTCCACTGGGTGGTTACAAATAGTCCTGGCATATTTCAGGTAACTGCCCCAAGGAACAGCCAGGGAAGTCTGTCTGGGTGATGATGAAGCCCTTACCAAGCAGCATCTACTGGCCCCAAAAGTAAGGCTACTGAGGTGGGGAACCACTGAGGATTCAGCTAAGTAAAGGAGCCAGAGAAGTGAAACTCCAGGAAATTTCTCCCACTTCACTCAGGGAAGACAGTCAGCCTAGACCAAAGCCACTTCAGAGAGCGGTCATTATCTCAGAATCTCCCAACTTCCCTGGACTCTGTCATTGGACACCAGGACTTGAAGGAGAAAGATGCCAGAATTAGGCTGAGAGAGTGTGGCAGCAATGGCTAGTTGCCAACTGGCATCTATTTTACCCCTACTTTTTTATTAACAAACTCCAATTCTTTTCAAGGCCACAGTGTATCTGGTTATAAATGCTCATCTTCTTAGGGTTCCTTACAACTGAAGGTGGTGAAGTGGCCTGGATCTGACCAGTAAGAGGTGGGTGGAAGTTTAGTGCTAAACTTCCAGAAGAGCTATCACATCCCAATAAAAAGGGAAAGACTCAGCTGGCATGCATCTATTTCCCTTTGGCCTGCCCCCTCCTTCCTTGAAATGCTAACTTCAGGCCTAGGAGAACTGTAGCCATGTTTTGAGCAGGAGGAAAAAGGCTGTGTCCAAGCATGAAAGAGCTGGAATCTAGAAGACCCTGGGTCCTGGATGAAATCCTTGAACTGCAGCACCAACCTTAGCTTGCTCCTCAGTCTCTTCAAAGATGTCTTCTCAAGTATAAAATCCTAGTCTTTCATTCTGGCCTAAATTACCTAGAGGGCTAAATCTCACTTCTGTGAAAGCACTGTATTGCCTATTCTAATAAATGGAAGATTTTATTTTCTAGATACTATTGAAGTACCTAGAATGATTCCCAAGAGTCATGAGCCTTTTCAGTCTTCAACTATATTTCAGAGATGTCATTGGTATAGCATTTTAGATCTGTTAGAGGATCTCTTATCTCTCTAGGTGGGTATTCAGAAAAAAATTATACACCTGAGGATTTACTTCTAGCAAAAACTCTAGGGTTTCTTCAATAATAAAACTTTTAAAAATCAAGTTATACTTTGATATCTATTATATATTTGAAAGCTCATTTGATCATTGTAACGAACCACTGAACAATGCAAAAGGTGTTACTATACCCATTTTCCATGTGAGAAAATTGGGACCCAGAGAGGTAAAGTGACTTGTCCAACGTCATGTAATTTTAATAGCAATGCTGGCAGATCCAGTAATGTTGCCTAGGCCTTCTAACTCCTCACTTCTTCTTTTCCTTCTTTTAAAATAAAATTATCCAAACACAGAGCCCAAGTGTAAGCATAGGGGGAGTCATTTTACAATTTTGTGCAGCCTCGACTATTCATCTGGCTTAACTTACCAGGGAATGAGGTTCTCCAGTTACCAAGGAAACAGGACACTTCTCCTGGTCTTCATAAGAGGAGTAAGCCTGGGCAGCCCACTGATCCAAGTATCCTTTGGGAGTGTAGACGCCACAGTCCACAATGCTGGTTTTTCTCTCAAAAGGTTCACATGTGCCATCTCCCTTATACATGTAGCAAAGGCTTGGCTCTCCTGCCAAGAAATATTGTATAACACAGAAAGTGTTTTCACAGATGTCATGAAAAAAAAATGAACATGGGAATGCCCACATTTCTTCAGCCCACTGAAGAGAATTCTGCATTGTCTGCCAGTCTAATGCCTATCTCAAACACACAAATACACTTACATACACCCCACAAATCCCTAAAGAAGAAGGATTCTTTCTCATTGGGAGAGAGGTAGAATCCATCTACATCATAAAAGTGCAAAAAGGGTTGGGATTAGAGGAGAAAGAACAGGGAGAAATAAAGCAGCTGTATGCTGGGTGTGGAAAGAAACTTTAAGTAATAGTTGAGTAAGATGCTTAGGGGAGGCTAGAGATATATGATAGGTAGGTAAAAGAAGAAAGCGACTCTAAATAAATGCTATGAGGTATTATATCTTTGAAACTTTTTCATAGTTTTTGAAATATTAAAGTATTAGGAAAGGTTGTTCTCAATCACTTTTTGCTGCTCAATTATGTTTCTTCAACTGCATAACTGCTCTTAAATTGGACAACATAGGCTCCAGGTTTATAAGGGTTACGTACCTATTATTATTTTTTTAGTCTTAGGATAACCCTGTGAGGTGTGTATTTTGTTTCCTTTATGATAGGAAGCCTGAGTCTCGATGATTTTATGCAATTTTGTGAAGGACCCTTGAATGATAAGTAATAGAGCATGGATTTGAGTCAGGGTTAAATCCAAGAACCAGAATGCGGGTTCAGCAGCTATTACTCCACACTGCCTCAATCTAAGACAGAAGGGCTGTCTTCAAAAGCAAACAGGTTAGAAATAAATATCTGAGAAAATATACTGAGGTTGTAAAACCAGCTGATATGCACTGGACAAGTTCTGTTCTTGCTGATATGGTAACTCCTAGTAAGAGAATGGCATTGGCTCTTAGATACATGGACACCCTTCCTTGAAATGTAGATAGCTGAGAAACACAAAGCCATTTAAGTTCTGTTGCATTTTTTAACCAAAATACAAGACAATTAATGACATGATTCAAATTTCCATTTTCTACTTAAAAAATTGGACATGAAAGTAAGATTAAGAGTCAAAATAACAATACCTATCTATGTATTCAATAAGACCATTACTAACGTTTACTATTACTATTTCCTTTTTTACATTAAATTCTTCATACCACTGCCACAGGGCTATTCCAGTAATTTGTCAGCTGTCCATCAACATACAATTATTAATTATTCTCTTAACAATTTCCTCTAAGAGCCTTCTGTGGTAAATCTATCTCTACTTGTCAGATATAAGCCACTGTCCACAGGACTTGGTTGAAAATCTATTTTGGGCTTTCAACTCCTGCATTTCATCAAAACTTACTCAAAACTCCCTCCAAGCTAATGTATGTGCTTTTGGAATGACTTTCCCATGAGATCTCTTAATCTCTCTCTCCCTCTTTTTTTTTTTCTCTCTCTCTCTCTCTTCCCCCCCCCCTTTCTCCTTCCCTCTCTCCCTCTCTCCCTCTCTCCATCTTTCTCTCCATGTTTCTTTCTCTATGTGTGCGTATAGTTTTCTCCTGTTCTGTTTTTCTACTTATAAGCCAGTAACTACTTCTTACTTCTTGTCTCTATTCTTTTGAGCACAAGACTTAAAATTGTCTGTGTTTCTTTCAAATTCATCTGAAAATAGCCAAATAAATACTTAAAAATATATTTAACAATGGTTCTTTCAAAACTAATCTTTTGAGAAATGATAGGATATAACTATATGCTTAGCATATGATGAACTTATGACTCACTGAAAAAAATGGCAAATGCTGGAATTATATCATTTAACCTTATCCTGTAAATAATTTAAATATAATCTTAAGTATGGTATTTAAATATAGTTAAACAATTTAAATATAGTCTTACTGGGGTTGAAGGAAATAGCCAAACTTTATGAGATCAAATGTGATAGACACAAAATAAGGTCTGCTTATTTAAGTTAAATAAGACTTGAGCTGTATTGAGGGAAGTTCAGTGTTTGGAAGATATATATTGTACTTAATATGAGACCACTATGTGGCTACCAAAAAGAAATAATGCTAACAGAGGTTATGTTAACAAATACTTGTGTACAGAAGAGGGAGGTAATCGGTTCGGTGTATTCTGCAGAGCCAGACCACATCTGGAGTATTGGATTCCCTTCTGGGCACTGACCACAGGAAGCATGCCAGTTTGGGATAAATAAGAAAGGGTCTGGAAACCTAATCACATGAGGGGATGTTTGGATTGGAAAGGAGAATAATGGGGAGGTATTTCAAATATCTGAATAGTAGTCAAATAAAACAAAAAAAAAATCTTTGGTATACATTCTCTGTAGTTTCATAGCAAGGAAAACGCACTTGATTAAGCATGAGGAAAGTGAGTTCCAGGAGTGGCTCTGCAAATATTTCATTGTATGCCCTTAGATGAGTCACTAAAGTGTTCTGAGCCTCAGTTTCCAAACTGGAAAAAAGGGAAAAAAATTTACAACAGATAAGGCCATTTATAAACAGAATGGTCTGTTTCGAGGTGTATTCTTCACTGCTAGAATTATGTAAGCAGAAGCTAGTAACTCATCTCTCACGCTCTTGTTGGAGGGGTTTCTGTAAGAGAGAGGAACTGTACTCTAAGTCGCTGTTAAATTTGTACTCATGAAAGAATCAGGGACTCTATCAGACCCATGGCACATAACATGCACAGAATATATGGTACCACTGAACACGTGGTACACATGGGCCTTTTTCAAATGAATGGATGGATGAATTTATGGAGGCAGGACCACCAACATTCTATGATTCATGTCTGGCTCTGGAGAGCAGGGACATTTGTATGTTCCTTATAGTACTTAACACTTTAATAAATTATACATTATTATAATCACATTCTACTTGATCTTAAGATTCAAGACATTAAAATATTTTTAAATGCACTGCTATTTAAAATAACTTCAGTGTGTGGTTATGCTCCACCAAATCATTACAATGTATGCATATGGCAATGGAAAGTAATCTGCATCTGAGAAACCTGTTGATGATTGCTTTAATCAGAATTGGAAAAGTGTTGCAGACCCTTCCTGGAGTGGCAAGAGTCTAGAGTAAAAAGCACCTTACACTCTAGAATCAAAGTTAAAATTTATTACCAGTGATTCTCCAAGGCTAAAATATGTTAGGATCCTCTGTTATTCTTCATGACTGTATTAAACAGTCACCAAAAGATGTCTTGCATTCACTTTGACTTAGAATGTTTCTTTACCCTAATTTGTATGCAGAGTCCATATGATTGTGCCACTTACCTGACGTATTGGCGTTACTTTGGAGGACCCAAGAGAAATCCTTGGTAATGTTAACTAGGAAGCAGTATAACACAAAGGTTTCACATGCAGATTCTAGAGCTGTACTTCTTTAGTTCAAATGCTAACTTTACCACTTCTAACTGCATAAACAAAATTGACTTATTTAAGTTCTGTGCCTCACTTTGGTTTCCCCATAGTTATTCTAAGGATTGAATGAGATAATACCTGTGAAACAAACCATGCCTGGTATACAAGGGACATGTCAAAGGTTATTATTAATATCACTAAGCAAGACGTTCAGGATATCAAGAACTCACAAAATAATACACCTCTAAAAGTAGGACACAGTCTTACACTGGCACTCCCGAACCTACCTACACAGTTGAAACCTTCCTCCAGCTTACATGCCTTGGAGCAGCCATCTCCGCTCACGAGGTCTCCATCATCACACTCTTCTCCCAGGCTCCTGAAAGGTAAAATATACATGCATATATAACACACACAAAATAATTTTTCTTGTTGAGCTATCATCATTTAAAATTCTTATATATATATATATATATATATATAAAATTGCACTTTAGGTTCTGGGGTACATGTGCAAAACATGCAGGATTGTTGCATAGGTACATACATGACAATATGGTTTGCTGCCTCCATCCCCCCATCACCTATATCTGGCATCTCTCCCCATGTTATCCCTCCCCAACCTCCCTATCCCTTACTGTCCCTCCCCATTCCCCCACAACAGACCCCAGTGTGTCTGTGTCCATGTGTTCTCATTGTTCAACACCCGCCTATGAGTGAGAACATGTGGTGTTTGTTTTTCTGTTCTTGTGTCAGTTTGCTGAGAATTATGGTTTCCAGATTCATCCATGTCCCTATAAAGGACACAAATTCATCATTTTTTATGGCTGCATAGTATTCCATGGTGTACATGTGCCACATTTTCTTTATCCAGTCTATCATTGTGGGCATTTGGGTTGGTTCCAAGTCTTTGCTATTGTGAACAGTGCTGCAGTAACCATACCTGTGCATGTGTCTTTATGATATAATGATTTATAATCCTTTGGATATATACCCATTGGAATTTCTGGGTCAAATGTTATTTCTATTTCTAGGTACTTGAGGAATTGCCACACTGTCTTCCCCCATCATTTAAAATTCTTACAATTTCTCAGTATATATTAAAAAGTGCAAGTTGGAAAAAAGTAGGAGCTAGAATAATGTTTTTACAGAAAATAGAAACAAACATGGATATTTAAAGTATATACAATTTTAGCAATGATTGTTGAGTGGCATGTCCAGTGGGTTGTGGGAATTCCTGGAAGTCAAGTAGCTCATGTCTCCGAAACATCTAGGATATCCATTGGAGTCCTGACAGTGTTTCTGAAAGAGGGTCTTAAGTTTAGCAAAGCCCTGCCAGCCCTGTAATGAATAAAGGCTTAAAATAGCTGATGATGGTAAGAAGAAAGCTTGCCTGTGTGTGTGGTTTCATTTTCTATTTATTTTTATATGATATTTATGTTTTCATTGTTTTGTTACATAAAGGTGCAATGGTTATAAAAATTAAGATTTTCTAGTAATGAATCTCCTATTTATATACCCAGAGATTTAAGCAGCCCCCTGGGGCCATCTCTCAGTCTAGGGCATCTCTAGGGCTTAGGGCCCTGTGTTTACTCCCTACTAGCACCTGGTGACAGCTATCATATATTGCAGGGAAGAAACACATGCTAAGAGAAAAATGTTTTTGTTTCCAACCTCAAATGCAAATACAACCAATGACAACATTTAAATTGAGGTGAGAGAGTTAGTTTATAGTGAAAGGGACATGAAGCAATTTGTGGAAATAAAATATGTAAGTTTGGGTTGATGCTCCTATAAAAGAACCAACATTTGGCTATTGCAAAATGGATGAGGGTTACTATCTTTTCTCCTTGACTTTTTTAATGTTCAAAATGGGCATATATTTTAACTCAGTAGATAAAGGATTTGGAATGTTAAAGTGTTTTCAGATCCTGGACATCACAAATAGCTCTAATCTATTGTTTAAAGTATATCTCACAAGGATGAATGAAAGAGTAAATAATTATAAATGAGAATGGTTTAAAATGAATTGAATATATCAGTGATATAGTAATCATGCTTTAAATGGCAAGTTGGAAGCACAGAAAGGTTAAAAGGGATAGAAAAACCACATAATTGAAAAAATTAAGGGAACTTCAAATCATTTTTTACATAAATAAAACGCAGTTTGATGAAAAGGGACTGCACTGGGGACCTAATTAAATGTGTGCTATATCCAAGAAGTCTCCAAATATTTTATGCATTAATCTGCTTGTTTATAGAGAAATAACCTTCATCTGTGTTTTTCTACAAGGGGTCTAGGAATAATCTTGGAGGTCAGCAACTTCATGTTTTCATTTTGAAGATAATCTGAACTATTAATATAACCATGCTATGTCTCATCTTGTGCCACGCTGCCCAGCAGAAATGTAATGAAAGCCACATTTAAAATTTTTCCAGAATTCATTTAAAATGTAAAAAGAATCTGGTAAAATTAGTGTTAAAAATATATTTTATCTAAGCCAAGATATTCAAAATATTATTTCAATGTACAATTGTATAAAATGAGGCATGTTACATTATTTTTGCATACTGTCTATTTGATCTGTATTTAGATTTTATTAAATTTACAGTTGAAGCAGTGGATTTACCTGCCCAAGTTGTTCCAAACACACTTGAAGATTTTCCAATAACCAAATTGAGTTTTGTCTTTGAAACTAAATATAAATTACTTAAAATTAAATACAATGAAGTATTCAGTTTTTTAGTTGCATTTATCATATTTCAAAGGCAAAAAGAGTCACCTATGGTTGGTGGCTCCTATAAGTTAACTTCTGTATGAATACTGTTTGTAATTTCAGGGCCCTGCATTGTACTTGTTTTGATGGTTCTACTGACAAGTGATAGCCAAGTGGTCGAATGATTGGTATGGATCTTTCTCATTTTACGTGTAATGTGGGGCCTTCAGATAAGCCAGATTTGGAGTTCAGACATACCTTCCCATTGGATGGAAGTGCTAGTTACGCAGAGAAGAAAACACAGGCACAAATTTCAAGGAACAATGTGAGACCCAGTAGCCAAGCAGTGCAACATGAAGGTAGGAAAAAAGCCCTCCACCCTTTTCAGCCCCGCAGGCAGAAATGGCACCCTGGGTCTGCAGGCTGGCCACCATGAGACAGCTGCCTTGGAAGACACTAGGGCAGGGGGCAGAGTGTTTAGCATGCAGTCTAAGTCTACATTAACTGGTGGGCTGCAGGTTTAAAATGAAGCAACCAAAACAGAGAAAACAACAACAGTATCAACTGGACTTGTCCTCTGCAATGTGAGGAAGCCCAGGGAGAAATATGATTTGAAATGGAGGGGCGGTGGCAGGCTGAGGCTGAGTTGGGCAGCAAGGGACAGCACGTGAGCAAGACTGAGGTGACCTTAATGGCTTCCACATATTATCAAGGGCTGATAACATTTTAGGGTTTATACTTCTGTGACAACGATTAGACTTACCATAGTTTCGGGATCGTAGAAGACTGGGGACATAAACAATGTTTACGATTGCTAAATGATGGGACAGAATCCCAAGAAAGGCTACAGAACTGATTCCCTTTAGGGCTTCATGATACAATATATTTTACCTGGTCTAAGAAAATGAAAATAACCCATCTTATTTTTATAAAGAAGCGAAATAAAAGATAAATCACAGTGTCTGGCTTCCAGCCTCCGCATCCCAGCAGCTTTATATAATTAACAAATAAGGCTAGACGAGCATTAAGTTTAGGTTGATGTAGGGCAATCCACCATCCAGGATTTCCTGGGACTTGGTGTTTTTAGTACTAAAACTGGGGAAGTCGCAGGTAAACCAGAATGAATTAATTAGTCCTTTATGTTACTGTTACAAAAAGGCAATAGAAAAAGTCACATGGTATGTTAAAAAACAGAAAGGGTGATTCCATTTATACCTTGGTGATGCTTACAGAATAGCTGGAAATCATATTGTTATCGGTTCTACTAAGGGTTACATGAGAAACTGAAGATCCAAAAGCTATGCTAAATTTCCTCAGATCATACAACTAGTTAGTAGAATAGGCCATTTGTTCAAAAGAGATCCTCTTTCAGTATCATTTGATGAGTAGCCTTCTTCTGCATAACTTTCTTTCCTGAATCACTATCCAGTAGTTACTTGCTGAGGCCATAAAAGGGGCCCCCAGAGAATCAGCCTCAATACCTCAACACTCTGGGGTTAGCTATAAGTAAAAATGGGTCCCTCTGTAACTATGTAGAGATGCCAGATATCAAGACCTGACACAAATAAGTCCCAGATTTTAGAATTTCAACACTAAAATCAAATGATACCTTACTCCCTACATTTCCAAACAAGTCAAACTCCTGAAACTTCTGTTCAGAGCGTAATGTTCCTGGTCACATATGCGCACACGTGCATGCGCACGCGCGCGCACACACACACACACACACAATGCACACACACAAATACTCACTCTGACACCTTCCCATCTCCACAATAAGGAGCTCCGTGGATGTGGTTCAGAGGAGGTGAAGCTTCTCCCAGTTCTCCTCCAGCTTCGGCTAGAACTTGGTACTGATACATCTGCCCAGGTGTGACTTCCCTGTGGACACCAAAGGATTTGTGACCACTACAGCCACAAAGTGAGGCATGCCCTGAGTCCTTTGTTGATTGTTTGCAGAAGTTGAAGGGAAATAACACGGGAAACATAAAGGTTAAACATATGCTGCGTTGTCTAAAACAAAGATCAGGGCACAGTCTTACCGAGCGCCAGAAGGTTTGAAACCATATTTATTTCTCTATCTGTGCATTGCACAGAGTAAATGCACAGTAAACACTTGCTGTGTTATCACTGAACTTAGCAGTCCTAGTCAATCTAGGAGGATGGTATTTCAAGTGCATTTTTACCATGTTAACACACACACACACAAATTTAAAAACCAGTCTTCTGTATCATCAAAGTAATCAAAGAAACTGGAGACGAAAGCTTCAGAGTCTTGGCTCAGGAAGGCCCCCTTCTTGGGTCTGTAATCATAGTTTTCTCTCAAGAGAATTCTTGTCTGGATGAGACTGAATCCTTAGGAGTAAGATCAACTGTCTCGTAAAAGAAGTTAGGAACGCCTTTTGTCACAATTTGGAGGATGCAAGAAGTTCCACAATTAGAAATGCATTACACAACTCCCCACCTCCAAACCTATTAAAGTGTGTAGGTATCAGGAATGGAGTTGTATCAATTGACCCTAGCAAGGAGCTTGTCAGACTCTCTCTAGAGCCTGGGTGCACTGATGGTGTGGCGAGTATGAAAGGCAGGACACTTAGAAACAGAAATGGTCTCCAGAAGGGGAGCTTCTGGTCCCAAAGACAGACTCTGTCTTCATCTGGATTTTGCCCAGTGCCTACCCTAGTTGGAAAACTATCACCAAAGTCAAGCTAGAATGCGAGTTACTTAGTGAAACGGGATCTCAAAGGGTTGTTGGGACTACCATGAGTTGCTGCCACAAACACACTACCATGGTTCTCTCTTTAACAGACTTCTCAACTCACCCACAAAGCTTCCACTCCCTCAGTCGATGCAGCAACCAGCAACAAGGAAACGTCTCCGGGTTTCCAAAACACCTTTGAAAACCTCTGTGCTGGCTTTTAAGCATTTTAGTTGAAAGGAAACCTACATATTAAAGTATTTTCAATTTCCAAATTAGTTACCCTCCACATCTTCTGGGGAAGCAAACCTCTCATGGGAATACCAGATATTTCTAAAGCAAAACCAACTTTACATGCTCATCAATGCTGACAGTTTTCCTTTACAGGATGGTTTCTGTCAGACTGCTTGTCCAGCCATGCATAAAAGCTTCACACTTTTCTGTGGCTGGTAAAGGAATGGATGGAAACATCAGCATGTGTTTACTTTTCTTGAGGAAAAATTCAGCGGCAGGTAGCCCAAGCCTTCCAGGATCTGAGTTTGTGAACGGCAGAGTGTTACTGAAGCAAGAGAATCAAAATGAGATCCAGTTGAAAAATTGAATTTTAATTCTGAGTCTGCTATTTACCTATTGAACTCAATCAAAGTTAAGTCTCAGATTTTTCATCTATGAAATGAGATATTATTGGCCTTAAGAGTGTGTGTGCGTGTGTGTGTGTGTGTGTGTGTGTGTGTGTGTGCAGCAAATTAGACAGCAAATGTCTTCCTAACTGCTTTATTTAAGAAGTTTAAAATGACATTTTTTTCTTTTACTTTTTAAATCTACCTTTGCATTTGCATTAGCTTTTTGGTGATTTCACTGTCTTCTATTCTAATTAGTAGAGCAAATCTAGGAAGAAAAATGTAATGAAGCTCAAGGCGGACATTTGTCTCCCCTTTTTTTTGTAGCTATGGTAGACTGCCAAATGACTACCTTGTCTCAGATGCACCCCTCTGTGATGTCACTTTGCTGCCTCTCTCATCAAAAGGGAGGGTTTATTTTGCTGCCCTTTGAATCTAAAATGGCTGTGTGACTTCCTTTGGCTAGTGGAACATTATCATGAATAACATAAAGCAAAGATTTGAAAAGTATAAGCATTTGGGGGCTTGCCCTCCCTGCTTCTGGAAACTCTTCCACCACCATGAGAAGAAGCTAAGGCCAGGCCTTGAGAAACCATGAGGAAAAAGGCCGTCATCTCTCCAGCCACGGCAGCTGTCTCAGCTGTACGTGAGGTCATCCTGGGCCATCTAGCTCCAGTCAAGTCAGTCTTGACGAGAACACCCAACCCACCTACATAACCAAGAGAAATAGTGTTTGTTGTTTTAACCCACTGCATTTTGTGATGATTTCTAATGCAGCGAAAACTGACAGCACCTCTGATAAAACTTTGTTTTGCCCTCAGGGCAGTCTCCAAAGAAGGTTATGAGGTCAAGAGAATTTGCCTTTGGAGTTACCAGCCTCCTTCTTCAGACACTGAGTTCTTTGTAGGTAAGGACCTCGCCTTAGTCTGTGCCCCCAGCACTGAGCATGCAGTGCCAGGAATGTAGCAGAACTCGCTAAATGTAGGAAGAGAAGACAGAGCTGGAAGAAAAAGATAAAACAGTTGGTTGGGTGCAGGGGGGAAATGAAAGAAGGGGAAAGAATGAAACACGTATCATGAATGAGTCGTGGAACTGAGTATATCGTCTCATCTGCTGGGCCTTGGCTTCTTTGCGTAGCAATCGAAGAATTGACTATAACTTCCAAATGTTATGGGGTCTGTGGCAGATGATCAGACAGCTAAAGCAAAGAATCAGAAATTAAATTGTCACCAGACAGATGTATCTGATTCTGATCAACTTATTTGTGGCGATTACGTTCAGTCCAACCGAAACATCTCATACACATACACTAACCTCTTTTGTCCATAATCATGATGATGGCATCAGCAATCAGACACACTTGTTCCTTTCTGGGAATTGTTTTGCTTTACCTCAGACATGTCACTTCACAGTAAAATCCCCTCTGAGAGGCTAAACTTTCCTCCAACTTAGGGGCATGGCCGAATATTAAAAAGTGGGGGAAAAGTAAAAAAAACCACCCCAGAGCCCGAGGAAGCCCCATAGTCATGCTACCAAACTCACGTGTCTGTGAACTTCCTGTGAGGATGTGTCACCAGCATGGGCAAACCACTGCCAAATGGGGGATCACGGAGAACCTGGTACCTCACTGGCCTGCAGCCGGAGCACAAGGGACTGTGGGGCTGAGAAGTCAGGAGCGCTGCGTCAATCTCTATCCGCTCATCAAAGGTGTAGACTTTCACTCCTGAGACCTTCCCATCCACGTGCAGTTTGATGGTGAGTGGGATGTCACAGAAAGTGTCTAAGGGGCCCAGGTGCACAGACTTATTGTTTTCTAGCAAGATCTCTGTGTCAAACAGGACCTGAGAAGAGTCCATGATGAAGGAAGTGACCCATAGGGTGAGAGTGTCAGCTTGGACCGGGTGTTGGAAGAGCAACTCCAGGCTACAGCCTTCTGTGGGGCAGGGGACCGTCATGTTCATGTGGTACAGGTGAACCTCAGGGCTCCATGTCTGCAAGCTCGGCTCGCAGGGCTGATCCACATCAGGAGGACCTGCGGGGGATGAGCAGAAAGATACATCAGTAGCAGCCATTAAAAGTCAGAAAATGAGTAGCCCTTAGCAGCTAGAAAGAGGTTCCTCTTACAGGACCTCTTACAGGTTCCTCTGTAGGTTCTTCTCCCTACAGAAAGAACTTTTAGAATTCCTACAGAAGTTGGTCATTTTAGCAGGTTAGATTTTAAGTATCTTTTAAGAACAAAAAAGTAAAAAGCATTATGCTCTTGTTACCCCAACCCTGTATGTACATGGTACTTTTAGCAAGAGGAAACCTGCCAAGAATTGGGAAGGGGACAACCCAGATCCTAGGAGGAGACATGAGGCTGATGCAGAGAAGTCAAGTTCTTAAAGAATCCTTGAACAGAGAATTTCATGTGCTTAGCCCATTCATAACTTATTATAAATTAATGCTTCTGAAGACCAACGATTTCACTCCATCACTGAAATATTTGTAGTGCTCTTCACAAAACTTCTTTCATTCCCTAAGATCCCACCCTGGCAATCCTTTCAATGGACAGACAAACTTTAAAACCATATATTGCAATTTCCTTTTCAGTTTGGGCATGGGTGAACAGGCAGGGAGCTGCAGGCAGGAAATATAAACATATATGATGGAGGGAACAAAAAATGAAGATTCAGTCACCAAATAAAGATGTAATAATGAGCAATCAAATATCACGAATCTATGAAAGTCAGCTTCATGGAAATACTCTACCCAAGATGGTTTTCTTTTCTGTCACCTGAGGGGAGTTGAAGAGAGAGTGTTGAATCAGGAACCAGCAGAGTCAGCCCTCCTGCACCCTTAGCTGCATGGCTGTGACACATCTTTCTATACCTCAGTTTCCTCTTACTGAAAATAAGTGACAATATTTAACCCCTACCTTACAAGGGCAGTGCAGACATACAATGTTCTAGATAAATTAAATATCTACATTTACCAAAGTAGAAGTATTTAGCCCTTCAAAATTTAGAAAATAAATTATGTCCCAAAGCCCAGAGAAAACCAGTTCAAACATTGAAATTTATTTCCCTTTCAGTTCAGGTATGTGCGAGCAGGGAGGTAGCTGCAGGAAGACTGCAGTCAGAAAATATACACACATTTTATTAAATCCAGAAATATGTGTGTGCAACTGTGTGTGTGTTTGGTGTGTTACATCTTACGGTTTTTATTACTTTTCGCCTACATTGTGAGTTGATTCATTTATTGTGAATTGATTCACTTTTTATGAGTTGATTCATTCATTTAACAAAAACTGGTTGTGTACTTCTTTTATATCAAGAACTAACCTAGGTATTAGAAATAGAGGCGTGAACCAGAAGGATGAAAGTCTTGCCTTTCTATACCTTATAATACAGTGATAATGCAACAATAAATGTATAAAGGGATACAAAGTATATTATTAAGTAGTAGTGATATCTATGAAGACAAGCGGAGTAATATAAGGAAATACAGAATTATGAGGGGAGGCTGGGAGCTGTTTTAGATTATGAAGCCAGAAAGTTTTCACCATGAAGATGATATCTAAGCAGGCAATATGTCTGACTTAGTTTTCTAATTCCCACAGCATTTAGAAAATAGTTGGTGGTCAAACAGTGTTCATTAAATGTCATTAAATGCATTTTGAACATGTTTATAAATACATGTGTTTATGCCTGCTCTGTTAGATATTCAGTTACTTTTACGGTGTAGATCTTAAATATGACCTGGTCCTTCACCCTTTCAAAGCAAAGAAAGACCAGTATTTCTTATTAATCATATATACTTAGTTTATTAATCACTCATGAATTAATGCTAGTGAAGTCCAATGTTAGTAGTCCTAAAAACTACTCTAAGCCCAAAATACCAGCAGAATAAAGGCCCTTGGAAACCAGCCTAATGGCAGGACTGTCAGATAAAAAGTTTTTTATTATGACCTCATGTTAAAGCATGAAGTGGCAACCCTAAAAGTTGACTTGGTTTGCCTCAAGACCCAATACACGAATCAGAACCTAGAACTTCTCATTTCTTTTACCTCTATCAGATAACTACTTCTATCAGAAAATTCTAGGGGTGGGGGAACCCATAGAATTAAAAAAATAAAACATACAGAGCGAGGGAATCAAACAGGCATTAAAACACTAAGCACAGGACAAACTGTTTGCCACACACACGCACAGAATGGCCCTTTATGAAATGTGAATCTCTATTTAGAGTCCAATGCAGTAAATTTTATACTCACTTTCCCTTCTTCCCTGAAAATTCTCATTTGAAAAAAGTCATGTACAATCAATCAAGTCAATTGTCTCCTTCCAGATTTATCCCTGAAGCCCTGTCACTTGAGTGACGAGGAACCCAGGATGATATCTTGCAGATACTGTAGACTCTTAGACCAATATCCTCCTTTATTTTCTTGTCACAATCAAGACTCCAGATTAATTCGAATAGGACTTTGTTCAACACATCTTATTTTAGTGTCTTAATAAATATTTTAAAGGCAAAGAAAAAAGATGATGATTAGGTGAACACTAAAGATGATGATAGAAGAAGTCAAGCCATTCATCAGGAGGTGCTAAAATCCTGTCAACAGTTTTCTGACTTGAACTGAGAAAAGATTCATGCTGTAATTTATCTTAGAGGCATTAATATACATATGTGAGTGAATGTGCGACAGATTGAAAAGTAAGGGGAGGTACAGAAAAAGAGACAGCAAAACACATTTTCCCTGTCCTGGAGCCTAGCTCAGATCATATCCAAAGCACAACCAGTACCAGTGATTAATAGACTCATAAAATAGCACAGACAAGAACCATCAGTGTGGAACACCTGGTTCCCCCACCCCCACCCAGACCCGCTCAGCCAGTGCATGAGTGTTCTCTGTGATGTGTTCTCCGTTACTCTCCTGATATAGAGGAGTAAGGTCAGCTTACACTGTCACATGGCATGGCTGCTCCAAGGACCAGTAGACACACGCAACATTACACCCCCCAGCTATCTCACCCAGAAGTCACACCTGAGTTCAGCTGACTTCTCTATCCTTCTGTCCTACATGCTGATCTCTGCTTCACCACAGCCACAGGGCCTCCACATTAGGCACATATGGGACATTCTGCACACAGCAACACCAGACAGTTTTTGCAAGGCTTCTGGAGATATCTAATAAAACACACACACACACACACACACACACACTCACACCGCCTTTTTCTCACCATGTCACTACTTCACTCTTTACCTCCACCCCCATCCTGAGTGGTCACCAGGGCATAAAGAAAAAAAGTCATGGTACTTTACCCACAGCCTCCTCTGGGGTCCAGTAACCTGAGGAGTCACACACCCGCCGGGAGGAAGCTGTGTGCACATACTGACGAAATGTCCCATCTTCAGTGCAAGCGCCACACATGCTGCCTGAGGCCCTGGGGAGATGAAGGGATGGAGATGGGAGATAAGGAGAGTCCATCAGATGAACTGCGATAAGAAAATTAGAAAGACCTCTGTGTTGGGAGGGGAGGGGTTGATGGTTAGTAAGGACCTAGACAGTAACTAAGAACAACTGTATCTCAATTCACTTTTTCTTGTGTGGACCTCATCTTTGCAAAATTCAGTGACATGAAAATCTCCGGATCATGAAGCAGAAAAATTTAACTAAGTCATAAAAGAGGCCTGTGGAGATGAAAGTGGGCAGTTTCTGTCCTAGGACAGCAAACGCCAAACAATGACAATCTGAATCTTTCAACATAAAACCACCTTCTACACTGACTCTCAGTAAGTCGTTCACAGACTCCTCGCATTTCCCCCCACTAAAACAGACAACAGTTTCCAACATAAACTTATTAGCTATATGTGTCCTTATGTTTTACACTCCCTACTTCAAATCACTTACATAAAATAAAAGCCAGGGGAAATGTCATGTCCCTTGGCTCACCATTGCCTTTGGGGATATATTCAAATTACTTATCACGACCCAAGGTCCTTCACAAGCTAACTCCAGCCTCACCTACTGCAGTTCCTTCCTGAGTTTTGTATTTCCAGCACAATGAACAGATCACCATTCCACAAATACATCATGCTCTTCAGCTCCATAAAACACGCAGCTGTTCTCTCTGCTGCCCAACAGCCTTTCCGAGCTTCTCTGTTTAGCAAACTCCTACTTACTCTTCAAGAACCATTTAAGTGTAAACTGCAGCAGCACTCAGCCTTTCTCCTCTGAGCGGTCAGTACCCCCTTCTCTGTGCTCCCACTGCACCTGCTGGCTCCTCTCTTAGGGCTCTGCTATGTGGTGTTGAGAATTTCCATTCACATTCTTTCCTCTCCTTTGCCTGCGAGCAGGTCTAGACCAAGCTGTATTCTTATTTATATTCCCAACAGCTAGCACAGAGATTGGACCCAGCAATCCTTCTGTGCATGCTTGTTTCATGGGATAGCCATGACGTGATTAATACAGTCTATGGAAAGTTCTACAAGTACAATAACTGAGGTAACTGGAAGAGGTAGAAACAATAATAGCAACGTAATAATGGTAAGTCACTCTATGTGGCTTGCCTCTGATACTTAAAATCTTTTTAGAAGCCCAATTGTGAATGACACATCTGAAAAGGGAGGCATCAAGTCACGGTCTCTGAAAAGGTAAGGAAACAAGAATCTCATCTGGTAGTATGCCAAAAAATAATGTTATTTTTTTAAAAGGTAGCAATTACGACAGCTGCTCCCATTTCTGAAGTACCTCACATAATTGGCATCACGCCACTATGTCATGCTTTTCATAAATGATTTCTAATTCCTGTAATAACCTTATGTTTACAAATGAGAAAACTCAGGCTCAGAGAGGTTAAGTAAATTGCCTAAGGTCACAAGTTCCTTAATTCCTTTGAGCAAGTTCCCAAACACCATTGAGTGTCCAGTACTTTGGAAACTAAAAGGTGTAGTTAAGATCCAACCTCTGACTCCAATCAGCATTCACTTCTAATGTGAACATAACTCCAAAGCTCATTCCTCTGATGCACTTGGCCCTTCCGGGGCTGCTGCTGAGTGCGTAGCTGGGGCTCTTCTCTGACATAAGGGTTCCAAATACCTGCTGGGGTGGAGTAAACACAACTCCAAGCATGACACAAATCGCTGGGCATGTGACGTGAGTCCCCCTGACACACATGTTGGGAGGTCTCAAAACTGCAGTCCACCTAGCTGAGAAAAGAAAGCAAATTGCAGCCTTTTCTGCCAACAGACTCTCAGCAAGCCCGTACTGATGTCTGCTTTATCGTAACGTTTGTACCAGAGAGAGAATTCAAAGATTAAATTGTTTACATGTGTTACATAAACGGATGTAAAACTCTGGTTTGCACATACCCACAGAGGACTTGCTGTTCAAGCAGTTCGACCAAAGCTGCACAAGGTCACACTTGCAAGAAGATGATCCTCACACACATCACATAGATGTGTGCTGAATCACAAACAGAGCCCATGAGACTTTGGGCGCCGACAACCATGAAACTACTTTGTAGAGCTGTGAGGTCTAAGTGGTGCCACACATGAAGTACGTATCAAGGTATCAGAGACAGGTATCAAGATCCCAGGTGAAAGAGGATTCACCAGCTTTCTCCTATCCCCGTCTCTCTGTTGCTCTCTCCCTACGCTTTCAGCAAAGCAGAACGATACAGAAACCTGCTCCAGGGACATCCTTCTCTTTAGCTGAAGCCTGACACCCGGAGAGAAAGTGTGGTGCAAAGAAGAAAAGTGCCAAATGAGAAAGCTCTAAATTAAAAGAAACCATCCATTCCGCGTCCCTTAGTCCTGCATTTCCACTGGACACCCCAGTTCACCTCTAGTCAGCTTTGGGGTCTTGGGCTTGCCACTGTGTGTTGCTCTATGCCTCAGACTTCTCACTCCTTTAGCAGAAACTGTGTTTACTCCAAAGACTAAATAAGACAACTGCAGGTAAAATACCTAGCACAACACTTCACACATAGTGCAACCAATAGGTAAGGTACTATCGTTATTCAGAATACAGCATTAGGTTTTGAAAGAGGTCAGTCTGCACAAGTCATGGAGGGGGTTCTGGTCCTTCTCAGTGAAACGACATTCTCCCATCCCCACCACCAATTATCAGATGTCATTCATTTTCCTACCTTTCTCTCCTATCTCCAAACATTTCTCTGATATTCTTGTAAATCGATAGGCAAAGGACGAAGGAAAGTTAGTTTTAGGTGTAATGCTTTTTATTCAGTAAACATCTATTAGAGGTGGGAGGGAAAGAGACAAAGAGACAAAGAATAATCCTGCCTCCCCCAGTAGTTGCCAGGCAAGTGAGGCAGATAGGAAAATGAGCAGAGGATGACAATTCCATGATAGTGGCCATAAGAAGGGGGGGGGAACAGGAGGCTGAGAAGGTGTCAGAAACACCCACATAAGTCAGGGAAGCCCCTGATGCACAGCTTGTGGCAGTGGGCACACTCCCACCCACCCACGCCCAGAAGTGCCTGGAGAAGCATGTTGTAATCCCTCCCCCGACACCACTGTGCAAGTGGCAAGCCGCCACTCCACCCTCATGCTGCAGAGGAACAGCTGACAGGGACAAGTGGCAGATGCCCTCTCAGTTCTGCCAATTCATCCCTGTCACATTGGTCAGCCTCTCCAGGCCTCCCTGAGGGGGAGTGAGTACTCACTATAAGCCACTGGCTCACAGGAGAGCCCTGAGCTTTGCTAAAGCAATGAGAACAGAGCAGGCTGGAGCAGCAGCTCTGAGCGGTGATGCACACATTTATAGTTCCAAATTAGAGTTCCCCTGGCTTCATATTCTTCCCTTTATTCACATGAAATGTCACAGAGAAATGAACCAGCTCACCCAAGGCCAGTGCCCCTCTCACCTGTCATATACAACTCCACTAATAGGAGGCAGCCAGTGGATAGTAAGGGACTTGTTGGTCTGTCCGATGACCATGGGTGGGATGGGGATGGGGGTGGGCTTTCTGCTTTCAGTCCACTGCTGATAGACCAGGTCCAAATAGCAATGCATTCGGGCCACTTGGTTCGGGGTGAAATTGTCAGTGCAGTTATCATCTGTGGAGACAAGAAAGGTAGCACAAGAGATGGAGATTTTAACCCGTCATGTCCACCAAGGCAGGGATAAATTGTACCTTGTTCATGGCTGAGTTAACTTATTATGCTCAATAAGCACTTGTTGGATGAACAAACGCAATCTGTTCCAGAACGGGTCTAAGCTGGAAATGCGAAGAGAAGACAGAGACCAGAGATGTAGCACTTTCTTGTCTAAAGCAAGGTCATGACCTTAAAGTTGGGCTGGCCCAGGGTGAGACTCAGGTTGCTCTGAGCTGATGGTTGCTTACTCAGCAAACCACAAGATGGCAGTGTTTCAACAGATGGCCTTTTCACTCGTGAACATTTGTGGAGTTGCAGACACCTGCTTTATTGCCCAGTGATGCTGGCAGAGGTTAGTGAGTATTCAGTAGAGCTGCTCAAGGGAAAAGAGAGCCATATGTCAAGGAGACAGCAGGGCTGGGAATGGTGGTCTCGGCCTTACTTTTGGATCTGGCAAAGTCTCTTTAGCAAGTACCTCTTGCATAGGTTGGAAAGGGAGTTATCTTAGTTTCAGGGACTTTTCCAGTGAAAACACACCAAATACTGCCTTACTCAGCCTCTTAAATGTTTCCTCTTCCCCCTTCAAAGGTGCTGCCTCCAGAGCTCTGCCCTCTGCATGGCATCATCTGATCTCTCTGTCCCTTGATGGGGGAGGAGAGGTTCTCATGATACGCTGAATTATTCACTGCAATGGAACGCAGATAGACACATCCTGATAGGTAACAGATGGACCAGCGCATCACACTTTCTTCCCATCAAAGTCATGACCAGGGTGTGGTGGTATATTATTATTATTTTTTGGATAGTTCTAGAAGAACCTGTCACCAAACAAGCCTTTGAAACTTATAGAAGGAAAAATCTTCTTTCACCATTGGACTAGGTAATCAAATCAAATCAGTCTTTAATTTTAGGGATAAATTTTCCATTATCAGGAAACTGGTCACTATTACTTTTCACCAGAAACAAGGAAGGCGTGAGAGACAGGGAAGAATAATACAGAAGCCGAATTAAGCAAGGAAAGACCAGACAATAAGTTTTTCCAGGGCCAGGAAGATGCCATTTTTTAAATTAGATGGCACTTTTTGGTGGGGGGAGGGTGTTAGGCAGCAAAGAATTAGTGCATGACTAGTGCTGGAAAAAAGATAATCTCATTTTGTTTTTTAAAATAACATATAGTAAAAAAAAAAAAAAAAATCCTGAGCCGAAATTAACCAAGACACTTTCTTGACCAAATTCAAAAATAGTACAAAGGGCCACCTTGACCCATAAACCCTTTTCCCTTATTTCCACTGGATTCTTCTTCAGAGTAAATGCCTAAAAATGTGGGCAAAAATAAGAATAACCACATTCCAGAATTCAAAGGGATCACAAGAGGGCCTTTTAGCCTTTTTTACTATCTAGAAGCATATTTTAAATATCTAGTAGAGGAGAATTCAGTGAACAAAGCACCTTAATATTTCAGTATTTCTTCAAATTCTCCAAAGACATGAAAAAATAATACCCTATAATAAATACACTTCAACTTTCTGACACAAATGTCCACTTAATCATTTTCCCATCAGCTCCCACACCTCCACCCTCCCAGCTCATAAAGACCCTCATGTATTCGTAAAAGAAAACAAGACAGTGGTGAGACCTGTGTAGCTCATGTAGTTGGTGAACGGAGCTCCTGGGAAGCTAGTGAAGCCACAGGTGTCATTCGTGGGCTCTGGTTCCCTGCACAGGTCACTCTTGGGAGTGGGGGCGGTGTCGGCACAGAGGTCTCCTGTTTCCATGGACGGCACCGTCTCTCTGCAGGGGTCATTGCAGGATTCTCCTTCACTGACCCCTTTGAAGACATGGTAGAGTCCCAGAACATGCCCGACTTCATGGATCATGGTGTTAATGTGGCCAGGCTTCCCATAATAGGCTGGGTTGACAACAATGCCACCTGCAGGGAAAGTTTTGAAAAGCCTTTCAGAGCACAGAATGAACAGCAGCTCTCCAATCCTTAATTACGTTTTATGATAAACATCAAATACTCCATTTCAGCCTCTAAAAAGTCACTTTATAACTTCTGGTGACATATAGTCATTGCTTGCCTTTCTTGCCACAAAAACCCTCTAAACAAATTAATACACATTTCTTTATTCTCTACATGGATGAGTTAGTTATACTAGAGGCCCAGGACAGTAATGCCGACATGATAGACAGCCAGAATTCTCAGTTCTATCTGCACATTAAAATCACCTGGGAGAGTTGAAAGAAGACATACAGGGGTTCAAATCCTACCCCAGATGAATTGAATCCAAACGTTTGAGGATGAGGTTCATGTGTCGACATTTTTTAAAACTTCCCAGGTTGAGAATGATTGGTCTAGGCAAAAGTCCAAGGGATTTGGAGTCAAGAAAATCTGACTTAACTCCTACTCCTCCGCATTCCAGCTTTGAGGGCTTGAACAGCTGTCTTGCCTCCTAGAACTGTTTTGTTGTCTGTAAAGTGGAGATGATAACACTAAAATTTGTTTTTATTTTTTAGTGTTTGGTACATTAAAGGAAATGACAGCTGTAGGCTACTTCTGATTTAACAATCCCTGCACTCCCCCTAAATCTTCATGAGAACACGAAGGGAGATGTTCATTGCATTCAATCAGGCTCAGATGAGAGACTTAGTGGTGTCATTTAAATCTTACCAAAGTAAAGACTAAAGATATCCGAGTGGCACAACTTCTGTCTGTCTAGCTTGGTGAAATCCTAATTCCTGCTTTCCTCTTCTCCCATAATTGAACCACTTGGCTTTCCTTCTTTATACCCCAAAATTGTCAGGGCCAGGCCCAGTCTTATATCTAAGAGAAGAGACAGAGAATCTCACACACCTGGATCAATCCTCTGGGGCCCAAGGTCACCCCTGGCTGTGCTGCCCAGCTGACCCTGTCCTTCTGTCCCAGGTCTGATCCCAGTTCCCAGGACTTGCTTCACTTCTCACACCTGAGTCTTCCCTGTATCAATAGTCTTCTGAGTAGAGCTGGTCCTCCAGGAGACTAGCCCTGTCCTTCTCTGGCCAGATCATATTCCAAGGACTATGTCCTATTCCTGCCTCCATTCAACATCCCATATACAACCACATACACAGCATTATGGGCAGGAGACAGTCAAAGGGTATCTGGTGCCACATCCACTGGCCTATCTAACAGGCAGCTCAGCTGCCTTTCTCATGACTACTTTCCTGCACAGGACAGTTTCTAAGTTCAAGTTCCAGTCATTCCCAGTTTACTCCAACACACTGACGTTACCCAAGCCATGCCCAGACTCATCTAAGATACAGTGTCTCCCTTCACATCCCAGGTAAAGCTAGACCTCACCTCTCATGTTTATTATTTCTACTACTTCTGGTAAAAAAATGTTATTCTCTAGCCTTACACTTTTTTTCTTTCTCTTTCTTTTTATAAGGTTATTTTCTGATTATTTCTTTTATTTGTTCATCATCATGGCAACATAAGGTTAAACCAAGTTGAAAACAGTCTATTTCAAGAGTGTATGTTATTTGAACAAACCTGGAGAAACACAGTGTTTCCACTTTCCAAGAGGTCCATACTTTATGTCTACATAACCAACAGCAGCAATAGTCATCACCAACAATGCACAATTTTGCCCCCAGTGCTCTAATGGCAGTATCAACCTTCACGTAAGTGGAGATAATTCTAAGAGAACAGCTTTCTGTTCTTTCCCAACTGCCTTTCCAGGTGCCTTCACCTTCTTCATCCTTTCCCCTCCACCACACTTTTACCCTCTACATATGCTTAATCCCTTTTCTGCCTACTCTTGCCTTTCGTTCCCCCCACTTCTAAGTAAGTTTTGGCTTTAAAAAAACTAATCTTCAGAAATAGGATTTTGAAAGGCTATCCATCTATAAAGTTTAAGTATCCACACTGATTAGTTTTTTCCCCAAATTATGTTCATAAAATCTGAACCTGGGTAATACTTTGAAAAAACAAGTGCTATTAATGGTTAAATATGCTTGAGGAAAATGCAGCATGACATATTATCCTCCTGAAGATTCATAATGTATATGAGAGTGAGTTGTTGTATTAAAGGCCCCAAAATGTCCTTCATCAATTGAGTTTTACCCTTTGCTTTACAAACTTATTTGAACACAGAACCTGTCTGGGGTAGAATATCTTTTGACATCTCTGGAGTACCAGATGTCTCAGAGCACAATCCAGAAAACACTATCAAAGATAAAAAAAAAAGAAAAGTTCCAATCAATAGTTATCTTCTACTTATATGTTTTAGCTCTGAGCAAACATCAAATATCCCCATATCCTATGGCCAGCCAGGCCCAGGGCCTTTTGTGATGTCATTCAGTATAGAGAAAGAAAATATAGACAAAAAGAAAGATGGTTCTAGGAAGAAAGGATGGCAAAAAGCAACATGTGCCAAGAAAGGAGGGATGATCAGGAGTGTGAACTGTAAACACTTGAGGATATGGGGATGGCCATTACAGTATTGGGCTTCTCATCAATCACCAGAAGTCTCTACCTCAACCCCAAATGAGATGTTTCCAAATCTAAGGATATTTTGCAACAGCCATCTTTCAGTAAACCAGCTTTTTTATAAGTAGAGAAAGAAGCATAAAAGTGCAAGCCCTCAACACTCCCAGCAAATCCCCTCTACACCCAGGACAATTGGCCAGCGTTCTCCCCCGTAGCACTCTTGGTGCACATTCCCAACACAGAAGAATAAAGTTTTAACCACACAACATTTAACATCTTCATTAACAACATGAGCATTTTAACACACATTCACAAGTTATATTTTCAATTGTGGAGAGATGTACTTATGCTAAAAACTCATTTATTTGGAAGGCACAGCAACTGGTTCAGTAACTACATGTGTGTTAACTAGGAGATTGCACAAAATATAGAAATATAGAAAATATAGAACAAAATATCGCTCTAATTTAGGGATGAGTGTTGTGCACATCAACACATGTTGAGAACAAAAAGCCCAAGGTCCTGGACCTCTTATGGTAATTCTGTATCTATTACAGCACACGATTATAAGATTATTCCCCTGGACTAGAACTAGAGAAACTTGGAGTGTGGAGTGTTAGCTGACCTTCACTAGCTGCATGGCCTTGGCTGTTTAACCTTTCCCTTAATCTCTTCCTCTGTAAAATGAGGGGGTAGATTGGCTTATCACAGATTTCTTCCCAGCTGTATCCCCAGATTCTGAGAGCTAACACGCCAGCTTTGTGGGACAGTCATGAACAAAGGTAAAGGAATCTGTGTTGTCATGGACTGTCACTGCTTCTGCCTTGCAGTTTGTGTTCCAAGACTCCCATCTCTAAGTGGCCCGAGGAAAAGGGGAAAGCTGGCAGTGAGAAGCCAGCCATCCTACTCAGACCTGCTGCAGATTTCCAAGTGAACCAGATTCACCACCCTTTAATCCTCACTCTCTCTCTACTGGTGATATGGTTTGGCTGTGTCCCCACCTAAAATCTCATTTTGAATTGTAAACCCCATAATTCCATAATCCCCACATGCAAGGGTGGGACCAGGTGGAGGTAACTGAATCACGGAGGCAGTTTCCCCCATGCTGTTCTCATGACAATGAATGAGTCTAAAGAGATCTGATGGTTTTATAAGTGTCTGGCATTTCCCATACTGGCACTCGTTTGCTTTCCTGCCCCCCCCCCCCGTGAAGTGGTACCTTCCACCATCATTGTAAGTTTCCTGAGGTCCCTCAAGCCATGCTGAACTGTGAGTCAATTAAACCTCTTTTCTTAATAAATTACCCAGTCTCATGTATTTCTTCATAGCAGCGTGAGAACGAACTAATACAACTGGTTTGCACCCTTCATCCACTCTCACAGATACACAAAGGGGTCCCATACTATTCTTTCCACTCACTATTCATTCCAACTAAACCAACTTTGTGCAGTTATTAGGGGAATGAGTTTTAATCACTCACAGACATACAAACTCTCATTATTATGAAGTGGGTTTTCATTACTCACTGAGACACATCAAACTCACATTGATGTAGGGGGTGGGGATAAACATTAAATTTATTTGGTGATTTAGTTTGGAAAAGTTCTTTCGTGTTTTAATAAAAGTTACACATACACGTGTACTCAGGCCAAAGCTGGAGTGAGGCATAAAGACGTATTGCCCAAAATCCAGTAAGAGGAATGCAAGCATTTCTTTTGATTAATCAAGCATTTCATTAACAATACATAATTAATAATAAATAAAAACTGAGTGGCTAGAGCAGCAATCCCTTCCTGCCATCACCACCATTTATGTATTCCCCCAGTGGGGAGGAAGGGCCCTGAGGGACTGTGCATTCCCCCACTTTCAGGAAAAGCTGCAATGCTTTCTCAGGGACAGCATCATAGGAATAATGAAACAATAGTAAGAAATGGTACTTGTCAGTATCATTATATATTAATATTCAAATGAACCAGCATTATCTTCCGAAGCTAGAACCTGTGCTCACACTTTCTTCCAGTCACATGGGTCAGACTCTGCGTGGTTACACATGGGTCCCTGCACCACTGGACAGAAGCTTCTCTCTCACAAGGTAGCCTTTGGAGGGGCCAGGGCTCCTTCTCTGACTGGCACTGGAAAGGTACTGATCCTGATATGGGGAAACACTCCTTGAATGCTCTCAAGGCTGTTTCCTGATCTGTTTAATGGTAATAAGAAGAGTTTCTACCTCAAAGGATTGTCATGAAGATTAAACTAGTAATGTAAATAAATAAGCACGTAGCTTATTTCCTAGAATAAAGAGACTCAAAATATATATTAGACCATTTCTCAATATTATTGTAATTCTATGTGTAGTCTGGCAGGACACGTTCATTTGCCTGTAACCTTCATCAGCTCCTACAAATCTTCATTTACTGAAAAAAAAAAAAATTGAAGGTGGGGCCTGACCATAAATTGGA